CTCAGAATAGTAAAACTGTGTGTTAAACCGATGTAACACAAATTTAACATTTCTTATGTGACTGAGAATTGCTGCAATTAATTCAATGCATACTTACGTTTTGACACTGGATTCTTGTGCATATTAGATGGCAAATGAGGAAATATTACATACCTGAAACGAGAAGAAAGAAGGAAAATCTTGCATTAACTCTGTTGTGAATGCAAAGAATTTATTCCTATCCAATATATGGACACAATATAATCTATGTGTTATACATAGATAAGTAGACAGTAACTATAAAATCCTTTTATAAAAGATTTTTCATCAAAGGACATATGAAAGACTATATAGTTTCCTCATAAATTTCACTCCTTTTTTCTCTCTCTCCCTTTGTGAATTCACGTCGATTTGAGAGGAAAGAATAATATTGAAAATTCCACAGGTGATTTTCAAACATTCCCTCCCAGGTAATATCAATCGGGATGTGCTGCTCCTCATGCTAAATCCAATGTCACGGGACAATATATATGGTCGTGAAATGGAAGTGAAAAATCTCTTTCAAAGGAATCTCTCTCTTCAGAGGATTTTTGAGCAGCTCACGTTAAAATTCAGAAAGCTCCACATCATCCCTGACTCAACTGCTCAAAAGCTCATTCGATGGGACTTTCACGGGTCAACTACATTTTGCCCATTAATTGAATTCATCCCTCCCTTTTAACGTGTGATTGAGTACAGTATTTCGGAGGGGGGCGAAATCACTGATCTTTTGCATACGTGGCACTTCTCCATCACACCATTGAGAGCCATTGACGGAATCTCCACTTGCCAATATCCCAGAAATTGAGGGTGGCACAACCCCTTTTGTCTGCCCGATCGGACCCAGCACAAATGTTTGTGCGCCAAGATGAGCTTCAGCGGAGGGAAAGAATATATTTGAATAGTGATGCGCGCGTGTGTGTGTGTATCGGAAATAGATATCGTGTTATGCAGTGGCACGGGAAGTGTCTTCAAAGTGCCCCAAATAACTTTAGAGAGGCACCCAAAGCATAAACTTTCGAGAAATACTGCGTAAGTATAAATCCCTTCGCATGATCTTCCGACTAATTGTCAAGTTTATATCGAATTAATATGACGGAATATTTGCTTTTCATCAAACCAACCGTAACAACTTCATACACACACACAGACACACGACAACTTTCAACAAGGGTTGAACGAAGGGTGAGATTGCAAAATTAGGAATGCAATATTTCCCTTATCTTCCCAGAATATTGACAATATGCTCAAGAAAGTTCAAAGCTCAAAGTGAAGATGTTTAAATAGGAAATTCCATATTCTTGTGCTCCAACGAGAAAAAAAACTATTTCGTCGCTTTTCCCACCAAGGAAAGGTAACTTCCGCAATTTCTCTAGAATATTGCGACATTGACGTGCATAAAAAATGTCTTTTTCTCCTCTTTCAGCGCTATATTGACATTTCTTAGAGGGATTTTTCCAAGACTTTCCCAGATAACCAAATAACAACCCAATGACAATCAATTTACTGAAATTTTCAGTGGTTTTTCTCTGAGAATTTGCCTAAAACCAATAATTTTGACATTATCTGCTATCAATTATTGATAATATTAAGAGATTTTTGCTAATTTAAGATTGAGTGGTTAGTTTCTGGTTAGAATTTCGTCAGAAATCGGTAATGAACATAAAATTTTTAGTGCTTTTTTGTGGAAGTTTGCCTAAACTCCATAATTTTGACATTATCTGCCATCAATTATTGATAATATTAAGAGATTTTTGCTGAGTCAAGGTTAAGGTGGTTAGTTTCTGGTTAGAATTCGGTCAGAAATTGGTAATAAACATAAAATTTCGTTAATTTCAATGGGAAAATGGTCGGAAAGCCCTTCAAATGAAGTGCCATTGCCAATAAAAGGGAATCAAGTTCAATTAAAGCGCAAGAATCTGAGTATATCTGAGCTTTTGCTGCTTGTGCCCAACAATACAATGTCCAGATACCTTCTTGCTTCTGTACAAGCAAGTTTTACGATTATATTGAATTATGACACCATTGTGGAATAATTGTTCTGTCGCATCCCTTTTCCAACCCCCGCAAATTCAGCAATATCAATTGAACTATGTATATAAAACCCCAGAATCATGTGAAATATTAAACATGCTGAGTATAGAGTTCAACCATATGGAAGCAGTTAATTTTGCGGAGACAAAGCAATGAAATATATACATGTTTAACTAACATTTTCGATATAACATTTCACAAACGTGCGGGGATCAGTGAAAATTATAAACTCACTCTCTCTCTCTTTCTCTGTCTATTCAATATTTCATCCATTTCACCCCATCGAGCGCTATTACATAACAAAGGGTTCTAATAGAAATTTTAGGGACACATTGAGACCTTTCACAGCGTCCCTGGGCTTCGATGTCGGCGTTTTGATACCGAACCAGCCATACACTTAATTGACTCCAAGTAGTAAACTATCGATAGCATCGCACCCAATGGCGAGTCATGCTTCGCAAGAGATATGGATTCAGAGCGAGGGTCGAAAAGTAGCTCGTCTCAAGGGGGAAATAATACGGCCAGAAGTGGTGTACAGCTCAGCAGAAGTACTTAAGAAGTGGAAGTGTTCAAAAACTAGCAATATTTCTTTCCTGAATGCTTATTTTACTGCCAAAATTATCCCAACTCTTCGGATTCAATCATAAAAATATTTTTCTAGGTTATGTAACGAATCAGGAACAGATTTAGTGAATAATTCGCTTGTTATTGGTAAAATTAAGCATTTGTATGGAATAAAAATTGCTAATCTGAATCTTTGATGCCGAGAATCCCTGAAAAATTGTGCTTAGATTGAACATAACCTCAAAAAGAGTCATTTAAAACTTGGAAAATGTTTATTTAGAAAACACTGAATCAGCAATTTTGAGTTCATTGACAAATTCAAGAGATGATTTTGTGGTCTAGAAAACTCCCAAACAGAGTTTCTGAAAATCTCTTAGCTTTATTTTGAGGTTATGGCCGAAACATATGTCAAAAAAGCGTTTTTCAATGGATTCTTGCATAAATTTCGTATGGAAATTCAAGAGATTCATTAAATTTGTGGGGATTAATGTGGAAACAGTCTAAAAACTTCGAGTTGTAGAAGTGTTTGAAAGTGGTGTGCAGATTTAAGGGTGTCTTATCTCCCCCTTGGCTTGTCTCCATGTCAAAGTCTTCCGCGTGATAGTGCCAATTTTAGCTTGTGCTGAAGTACAAGATATGACATGGTATAAAAGACAAGTGTCTCTCATCACCAGGTAGGAAGTGTTGTGCCCCACACTCTCTGTTTGCCACTCGGACACAGCAAAGCAGGCGACACACAGCTGATAAGACGCCAGAGACGAGAACATGCCTCCAAGCGTGGAGCTTCACGTGGTGATAACAAGTGTGTCTCGTGAAATTCTCCCGAGTAAACTATCGCACCCCAAAAAATTATACCTTATCATCCTCCTCTGTACACAATCCACTGTTTATTATCATCAGCAGCCCACTCATCATTCGGAATTTGTCTCATGTTCAGCATCTTTCACAAAAACAGTGTCAAAGTTCAATGTTTGTATGGTGTGAGCACAGACTTTTTACACACTTAATCGCGGCTTGACGGAAATAAATCGCGAAATACCTAAAATTAGCCACACACACACAATTCCTGATAACATCCAAAGTTCAACGTAATTAATCCCCAGCGACGTATTTAATCCGATCTTGCAGCGTCACTCAAAATCACCAATCAATCGTCAATGAAATATTTGTCAATATATTTTCGCTCAATCTCAAATCAAACTTCAAGTGCGAAAGGCGTAGTAATTTCGTTTGCGTTGCATGACATGCAAAACAGAGTGGAAAATATATAATCTACAAATATGTAGTTCACACCGGATGTTCACGCAGCGTCTTCATGAGGAACTTGAGATCTCAATAACAAATTAGGCCACCGCACGCTCCATACCGTCTGTGGAGCTCAAAACGATTGCCACACACCATTATTCAATAAACTAGCTAAACTTTCAGCACCAAGAAAATCGACAATTGCTCCAATTTTGCCATTAAGTCAAGCGACAAAAGTTGGCTAGATAAACTTTTGCCATTCTCATCATTGCATTGCTTTTTTAACTCTCGCAACTTCTTGCACAACTCTCTCAATATGCTAAAATCAGTGAAGTCATTTGAATATGCGACGCTTTTCACTCAATTTTGCTCACCACAAAGGAAACCCAGCTCGAAAAAAAACAAGAGAAATTCAATTTAGGAAAAGCACAAGAGCTCCATTTCTCTGAGCTTTCAAGTTAAAGTATTCATGTGACAGGAAAGAAATCCACCTAAATTTGCACAATCATGGGAAAAACTGTACTGCAACGCTAAAGGACAAAGTGGGACAGCATGAGAGAAGTCTGTAAAATATGCAGAAACAAGAAGGACAGAGAAGGCCAAGTATTGGAGGCTCTTCACATCTCCTTATCGCTATATAGAAGTGTAAACAAGAAGGAAGATTATGCTAAAAGAAAGCAAGAAAAGCAGCCTTTGCTATTCTCTCTATAAAACAGTGTTTTAGAGGTTTTTAAGCGATGCCATAATGTGTAGGAGAGGAAAAATGGTGAAATTTGCCAAAATTATTAAAATTCAAGTAAATATTTAGTAAATCCACGATAAAAAGGATTTATTGCAAACATAACTCATGTTTATGCTTGAAAATTAGAGCCACAATTGCAGATTGACGCATTTTTGAAAGATATTTGCAGATCAAGATCTGTTGTGTTAAAATTCCACATTCAGACGATACAAAGTGGTTTAACACAAATTGGGCCAGAGTAGCAAATAGCACAAGTGGTTGAAACTGAATTTCTCTGAACCCACAAAATGCTTGCAAACTGCGCGAATGACCCTGTTTCACGGAGGCCTATACATCTTATGGGCTTTTTCAAGAGGAATACGTGATGCAATCGCTGGTTAACTGATAATCTCTCGGACGCTGACAAACTCTCTCGTGGAGTATAAAAGCGGTAAAATTGAAAAACAGAATAGCACATTACAAAGTGAAACGTCGAGTGTATCACGTTGACAACACACTGGCGGAACTCATCGTTTCGAGTGATCATAGAAGAGTACTTTGGCTCTTGACTCTGGCTGAATTTATCAGTGCCCTAAATGGAAGTGTTTCAGATTATTTGAGCACACTCACCGCACAGAATCTCCATCTCTCGCTCTCTGTGCTCCATCCATCATCGGCAAAAGAGGTGCACACATTCTGTCAAATACGCCAAAACTGTGCACTCACCTCTCGACCGTGTATCAATCGCCCATTTGGCAAGTAATCCTTTGGACACACGCTATGTATCGAATTGTGCTTCTCCTCGCGCTCTGCTGCAGTGCAACTCCCACCGAATCAGCCTCACTTTCCTCCAGAGGTAGGAATTACAACCTTCTGTAGTTAATTAGTTATCAGGGGGAAAGTCAGTCGCGGTTTGAGACCATTAACTCTGTGATTATTCAATCGTTTTTTGATTATTTGTGATTTGGATTCAAATTTTGATTGCTTCATACAAATTCTGATCATTTTTGATTACTTTCTGAATATTTGATTAAAATTGTTTATTTCATACAAAAACTGATTATTTTTTTTATTATTTGTGATTTTAATTCAAATTTTGATTATTTCATACAAAATTTGATTATTATTTTTTGATTAATTTCTGAATATTTCATCCAAATTTGAATATAATTAAATAATTGTGAATATTCGGAATATTCTGATTCATTGATTGAAAATAATCATTCTTTTTATTATTTAATTGAGAATTTGATTATTTTTCAATTTTACTTGGGAAAAAAAATCATCTTTTTTATTCTTTAATTCCGAATTTGATTATTTTGATTATTTCTCAATTTTTCTTTCAGCAAATAAACACTTTAAAAAAATTATTTTATTCAAAATATGAGTATTTCTCAATTTGACTTGGAAAAATAATCTTTTTTTTGATTAGGGGTAAATGGGGCAGCTTCAGATTGGGGCAGCTTCAGATTTCTTAATTTTCTCAGAGATTTTTGCATGAATAAATTCCTGGTCTTCACACAATGTTTGTAGTCCTTAAGGACTACAATTGACGAAAATTTGCACAGGATTGCCTTGACTGTTTAGATAAAATAAGTGAAAATTGAAAATCACTCACAAACTAGAATTTTGCTGCCGAATTGATTGCGTGTTTTCTCCATTAAAAAAGCCACAATTCGCGTGAAACACAATCAAAGGTTATTGAGAGTTAAGTAGAGATTCTAAATATGCCCGAACTTTTCCTCCTTGGCACGGCCCTTTCAGTGGGTGGTGGAAAATGCACAAACACTGCACACGGGGCAGTTTCGGATCGCCACGGACTGACAACAGCGCGCTCTGACAGTCTGACGCAACATCACGGTCGAAATTTTCTTGTGGCAAATATTGAAGATTTTTCACAAAGTGCCGTTCTGTGCTGCATTGCTTCATCACGTTAAACGACTTCTTAGTGGAAAAGTGAGAAAATACACGCGAAAATCACTGATTAGAGCAGAAATTTCGAGAAGCACATTTTGCGCAGCACTTTCGCGGCGCGTCAAGTTGCCACCACTCACGCATGGTGGCGTTGCGACACAGGAAAAATGACGGGCAACTTGCTTTTCGCTCAGACATTTTGACAGTCCGTGCAAGGGTCCAGAAAAGTCGCGAAAATATTACTTTAAAGGCGATTTTTAGGGAATTAAACAGTTTCAGTGCGTAGATTAGAAACCAAAGTGATCATTTGTCCGCGATTCTACAATTCCACAATGGAATTTATGGTAAATATCAGTGAAAATCTGAAACTGCCCCACAGCAATCCGAAACATCCCCGTGCGGGGCAGTTTCAGATAAATTACAATATTATTTTCATTCTCCTTTAGAGGAAAAAGGATCAGTTTTAATGCCCAATGAAAGGCATTTTCTGAAGCTCAACAGACGAGAGTTTATTTGAGCGTTGTGATCATTTCAATATATTCAGCCGATTTTTCAAGAAAAAATCCTAAAGTTGGAACAGCATTTTGAATCTGAAGCTGCCCCACTTACCCCTATTAATTTCAGAACTTGAATATTTTATAATTTTACTTGGGAAAATAATCATTTTTTGATTATTTTACTTAAAGAGAACATAAAGTTTCGTCAAAATCGCCTTGTGACTCGCCCCTTGTTAGTTATTCTTTAGTGACGACTAAATAAAAACCCCATAAATTTTTCCCTCGCTAATATCATCACACACACACACGTGTTTTCCGCAGGTGAATATGATCCAATGCACCCGCAATTGCCTATTATAAATGATGGAATTGTAAATGAGCACGGCCGTGTTAAGCGCGGAGCTCTGCCTCTGAAATTCATGGCACCCGAAATGGAGACACACGGTGAATATTGGACTAATATGGCACAAAATATTCTCCAGCAGCAATTACGGAAAAATCACCTCAACAAGAACATGGCGAGAAATGTTATTCTCTTCATGGGCGATGGCATGTCCATTGCAACAGTGACAGCCAGCAGAGTTTACAGTGGCGGCGAGGAGCAGCAGCTCTCATTTGACAAATTTCCCTACTCTGGACTGTCAAAGGTAGGCTGAATTGCCAGCATTTTCCGCCAATTTCACGGCAGAAACATCACACAGATTTCTGCACACAACGTCCAGTGCTTCGCAAACTATGTGTCACTGCACGTATTAATGACGTGAATAATTTCATTCACAATCTAAATTTGCATTCATTGTCAAGTCATACTTTTGATTCAGCACAGAAGTGATAAAAACTTGAGTTTTCCCTTAAAAGACTGCAATTTAACCGTTAAAATGACGTTTTCTCAACGTTTTGTGGTAAAGAAAGTTGATTTTTTCAAGAAAAAAGTACACAAAAACTGAAAAATGTTCAAATTTACAATGAATTACAAGAATTCTTGTAAGAAGTAATAAAAAAATTGAGTTTTTCCTCAAAAGATTGCAATTTAAACGTTAAAATTACGTTTTCTGAACGTTTTGTGTTGAGAAAGTTGAAAAAAGTACATAAATACTGATAAAAAATGACTTTTGCTACTTAATATCTTCAAATTTACTAAGAATTCACCATATTTTCTACTGAAAATGCACGATTAGACGGAATTTGAGGGCAAATGAGGCAAATTTCTATGTGATAATTCGACTAAATCTTCAATTCGCTCAGCAATATGTGTAAAATACCATTTTCCCACCCCCCCAAACCACCCTCACGATAGTCTTTCGCAGTTATTTGCAAAGTTTATGGCATGAAAGTGTGCATGTTGAGCTTGAGTTTGTGCGGGAGAATGCACAGAATGATTAATCAGAGCATAATTGCCTCTCTTGCTTCAGACATATTGCGCCAATACACAAGTTGCGGACTCTGCATGCTCAGCCACAGCATATTTGGGCGGCGTGAAGTCAAACTACGCCACCTTGGGTGTGACGGCGTCCGTGGCGCTGAATGACTGCAGCGCCGAGAACAGAACGGCCAACCATGTGGCGTCCATTGCCGACTGGGCGCAGCGCAATCAAATGTCCACTGGTGAGTGAAACACAAATCAATCTGCAAGTGTTTGCGCGACACCTTGCGTCTGTCTAACCGCAAACCTTCCCCACGTGAAGGCTTCGTGACCACCACGGAAGTGACTAACGCCTCGCCGGCCGCCCTGTACGCCCACTCGGCCAATCGCAACTGGGAGAGCGATCGCCAGCTGCTGGCCGACGGCGGCAATCCGGACGTGTGCACGGACATTGCCCGGCAATTGATTCACGGGAAGATTGGCGAGCGACTGAATGTGATTATGGGCGGCGGTCGACGACACTTCCTGCCCGAATGGGAGTCAGACGCCGAGGGACAGCCTGGCACCCGCGGTGACGGCGTGAATCTGATCAAGCAGTGGACGCGACGCCATCGCAAGCACGCAGCGCGATACGTTGAGACACGCGAGGAGCTGCAACAGGTGACCGGAGCCACTGTTGACTACCTCTTCGGCCTGTTCAGCAACGAGCACATGCCTTTCCACCTGGAAGAGGAGGCGGCCAAGAAGCCCACCCTCACGGAAATGGTGTCCAAGGCGCTGGACGTGCTGGAGAAGAACGACAGAGGATATCTGCTGTTCGTCGAGGGCGGCAGAATCGATCACGGACACCACAAGACACAAGCGGCACGCGCTCTGGACGAAACCATCGAATTCTCCAAGGCTATCGAGCACGCTCGTCTCCGGACCAGCGAAAAAGACACTCTCGTGATCGTGACAGCCGATCATTCCCACACAATGGCAATGGCAGGATATTCTGTGAGTATATTTCTTGCATTTGACAAAGTTCTTCTCTTTTCGCCTTTCCAAAACACACTTGAATGAATACTAAGAGGTTTTTAGTGGTAAAAAGTGATCAGAAACATCAATTTTCGTCAATTTGCAAGCCTTGACATGTTCTAGAGAGTTGTATAAGATTAAATCCGTATAAATCCGACCCACTTTTAGCAATCAGTTAAAGATATTGGATGATATGAAGAGACAAATACAGAAGAAACCTGAATGTATTAATTTAACACTTTCAAAAGGCACAAATTGAGCTTTAATTCATGGATTTTCGTAATTTTGCATACTTTAAATTCACATTTACATGCCTTAACATGCACGAAAAGACTAAAATGTTAATCATCTGGATTCTAATCATCTCTATATTAATTTATGCCATCTCAATATATCCAGAGTCGAGGAAATCATATTCTGGGCATTAATAATGCACAGAGAGGACTCGATCGTCTTCCCTACGCCACCTTGAGCTATGCAAATGGGCCGGGTTATGAGGTGCACGAGGAGCAGACGGGCGGCAGGCGGAATCTGCAGAAGCTCAACATGAGCAAGCAGACATTCGAATTCCCATCCACCATTCCGCTGGCCGAGGAGACGCACGGCGGCGACGATGTGCCCGTGTACGCCAGCGGCCCCTGGGCCCACATCTTCACCGGCTCCTACGAGCAGCACTTCATCCCGCACGCCATCGGCTACGCCGCGTGCATCGGCGACGGCCTGCACTCGTGCACAGATCAATAGACCAGCCAATGAGTGGCGGAACAGCACGGAAAAATCCTACCGATCATCGTCAGAATTGTCACACAACTATCTTTGTCAGTATCTTTGTCGAATTTATTTATTTCCTCACACATTTTCTATCCCATTAGTACTTAAGACTCCCGATTGATGCCGCTAATTGCAATTGAATAAAACACATTCATCAATCAACTCTTATCTCTCTGTTCACTTTCTCTGGAAATTTTCCTCTACAATTCCACAAAATCCCCCCTTTGAGTGCATTTTATTGCGAGCGGCAGTAATTCTCCGACCTTTTTTCTCTCACATGCATTTCACGTAATCAGCTGTGAATGCATTTTTCACAGAGACTTCATTATACTGCACTTTTCCTCCCGGCAACAAATGTAGACGAACTCTGAGAGATTAAAATGTCCCTCCCATCGGATTTATACTTAAAACGATATAGCTTATCAAGTTCTTCCCAAGGGGAAAATCACTAGCCGATTCTTGAGGAACCTTATTGATATTTTAAAAAGGATTATTTTCTGAATATAAAATTTCTTGCCACATATTGCCGCCAGAGGGCAATCGTTCGGCATGTCGAAATTTCGAGAGTTTAGGAAATACAATCGAAACTTCTACATGCCGTTAAGCGACTGCCCTCTGGCGGAAATATGTGGCAAAAATACTCAATATTTAAGTTTTCATTGAAATATTCAGAATACCCAGATTTTTGCAGAAAAACCCCGTGGGATTCCTGCAAATGTTTATACACAAATTGGTATGGAGCCTATTCGCGGTTATCCGCCGTATTTTTAATGCGGATTCCTACAGGGAAGTCAATGGTTTTTCCACATCTCTTAAGACCGTATAAGAAACCTCTTAGGCCTCTTTTCAATGGTTTTTCAGTGGATTTTTGCGGGAATGCAGAAGGAATATCCATTAAATTTCGCTAAAGGACGAAAGAGACCTAAAAACGACGGATTTTCAGTGGACTTTCCTGCAGGAATTCCGCAGGAAGGTCCATTGAAAATTCTTCAACGATGAAAAGGACATAAAACGACTGATTTTCAATGGCCTTGCTTGCGGGATTCCTGCGAAAAATTCATACAATTGAAGCTATAATCCGAGTAGAGCTTGTTTCCTGGAAGGTTGGTTCGAAATGATCAACTCCTTCCGTAACCCCTCAACGCTGAGTTCCCTGCTCCTCAGCGATCACGAGTCAACTGACTCCTCGTTTTACTCTCGCGCTCTCTTCGGTCTAATGCCACAGCGAGGATCTAACCGGAAGGAGAAGGTCCAGCCATTGTGTGGCATCTCGTCACAATTCTCTTCTGCACCATGGGCGGGTTTACATTTGCCGGCTGATGATGAGAATTCGGACTACACAATACTCAAAAATTTAAATATTTTATGGATGAAATTGACTAATAATTGTCCCCTTGGCTCTTTAAGCTTAACAAGACAAGATGGAGAGAAAAATTATCTACCAATTATCTAAAATGCTCAATTCCATGAAGATTATATTGCACGCAGAACAATATTGTATAATTCTCTCTATTGATTTCACATTGCAATCTGTGTTGGATTGGTTTGCATGGCATTCCAATTAATATTGTCTCCAATTGAAATTGAAACTCAAATTCAAATCCTCAGGATTTACAACAGATTATAAGTCTTTACATTTACCAAATCTTCACTAAGTATGTAACTATGATGAATTACTCTTCTGGAGACTCCTTTGGAAGCACAACACACACAACACAGAAAGCACAACAAAAGACTTGCAGCATCCGAGCAGAGAACATTTCTCAATACATTTCTTGAGAAGCATCTTCTGCAGAAAGACTTCTCTCGTAGCAATTTCTCCTCCTCCAGTGCGCTTGATTGATTTTGCAAAACGCAAAATTTAATTTCCTTCCAAACCATATACAGGTCGGAAGTTTGTTGTGCCTCAGTCGCTCTTTCAATTCTAAACTCCCAGAGCTTTTCTCATGTTCCTCCTTTCGCCATTTATAACATATTCAACTCCCTCTTCCTTGAGAATTGTGTCTCTTTGTGTCAGATATTCTTCTTCTCTGACTCTTGAACGTGTGTGTGTGCGCGCGTCATTTGAATGGGTGAATCAATCTACTATTTAGTGAGGAAAATTTTCAATTAAACCCCTTTTCTTCGGCATTTTGCAGAGGAAGTTTTCACCGAGGGAGAATTTGCTGGGGATTACGTGTAACAATTGTCTGGCATTTGATTCCCAATGACATCGCACAATGGTTGCAATTATTCCAAGACTTTTGACACGAAGAAGAGTGCACGAGAAGTCAATGAGAGAAATTTGTGTAGCAATATTAATTGAACAATGACATCAAGCGGAAGTATTACTTAAATTAAAAGTATATTTCTGCTGAATTTCACCTCAATTGGATAGAAAATATTCTTCCCTTTATTGAAACTGAGAAGAAAAAGGTAAGAAAAGGACATACGAAATTTCCATGTAAAATAAATAGATGAAGAAGTTTTTTCAAGTGAAAAATTGATACATATGTATATACATAAAATGCCACCAAAGTCATTTCAACTCTTTCCATATTATTTCCTGTTTCACTAAACAATTTCACCCCCGCCCCCAAAGCAACCACCTCGTTTCGCTGCGCAGCCAAAGTGTTCTCGAAAGTAAGAAGAGAAAGTCCAATAAGTTCTCAACCAAATAGACACGGACGGCGAACGGCAAGAGCGGGAGAACTGCAAACACACTTGGCGACTGAGTGAGAGGGTTGTGAAAAAGACATCTCAATGCTTCAGAGTATTAGAAGTGTGCGGTCTCAGTCAATGATGTTGCAATGCAGTTGCCAAGAGGTTGACTAGAGAGGCCACGGAGAGTTTAAAATGGTGTGACGACGGGGTGAAACGTGCGGTATGAAACCTCAGCTATTTGTTCCATTCAACTAAACTTCCAAATATTGCGAATTATTGTGCAGCACTGCAAATGAGTGATGACAATAGACGTCTCTCTGCATGCAATTCCCTCTGCAATATGAGCTCTCAACCCACCACCGAAAAGCACTATTGACAGATGCCAATATCACATGCAACGCGAAACTCCTTGCATTATCGTCCTTTGAGTTTACATTTTGGCGGTTTAGGCGCCGAAACTTCCAGAAACTATGTACAAAAGGATTATACATATTATCATTATACGACTGAACATCTCAGTTGATGATGATTATTGCAATTTGTAACGACATTCTGCCAAAGTTCTTCCATTTGGAGGTCATTGAAAAGTCTCCCTTTTGTTGTGAAACAGAGAAAATCTTGCGTGTTTAACAGAAATAATTGTCCAAGTTTATAACGTGAATTTTCTTGACTCAAGTGCAGTCTTTAGCCCGAAAACAACCCCTATTCAGTCTTGTAGAATAGTGGAAGTGCGCTGAAGTACCAATTCAGAGATCCTGAATTCGAAACCAAGCAAAAAGGTTGGATAGATTATTTTCAAAGCCCAGGTGGAAATGATACAGTCAGAAGTGGTGTACATCTCAGCAGCAGTACTTAAGAATCATTTTTTACTGACAAATCATTTAGATTCTTTGCATTATCTTTGATTTTCACGCAGAAACAAACGTAATACACTTTTTCTAGGTTATGTAACGAATCAAAGACAGATTTTGTGAGTAATTCTCATGCCCAAATTCGAAAAATTAAGCATTTTCATGCGATAAACATTGCTATTCTGAACCTTTGATGCCAAAAACACTGAAAATTGTGTTTCAGTTGAACATAACCTCAAAAATGATCATTTATAAGATTTTCTGAGCAATTTTGTCTCTTAATCAGTATTTTTTAGTTAATTTTCCAATCATAAACACATGATTTTGTGATGAAGAAAGCTTTCAAAATGAGTCTTTCAAGATCTCTTGATGATATTTTTAGGTTATAATCAGGAAAATACCAAAAAGAAACGGTTTAAAGTCGATTATTGAATTTGAAGCTGGTTCAGGATGGGGAGAACATTCCAAACGATTGCTGTTGAATGTTCCGGCTGAAATATACGCTTCACTGGAATTGTCTTTAACGTTCTGTGGTCATTTTTCTCCGAAAAAACATGATTTGACACCGAATCTTGCGACAAAATGGGGGAAACAAGCAGAATGTCGTTGAAGATATCCAGCAAACTTAAATGAATCCTTATAGGCCATAATTGCTGAACAAGAACAGTCTCTCAATGGAGGTTAATTACCTGAACATGCCTAATGTGACGAGCATTGTGGTAGCGGAAGACGTGCGGCGGCAGAAACTGTATTGTCTCAATTCCGATCCACTCATTGCAGGACGGCAAGTGATGGCGATGCCAGGGGTGGCAGAAAGACGACGGGGTGCAGAACAGGCACTGGTCCACTCGCCTCACCTGTCGCCTGTCCCTGCACCCCGACACCCCTACGACATCCGCGAGACACACATAGCGGCCAAGTTAGCAAATGCCGCTCCACACAACTGAGCAATTATGCCACAGTTGCAGGCGCTGACACATTATCAAATTACCATTATTGTCAAATAAATTCATCGCCGTCACTGGATGCGGATTTTACACACGCATTTACACACGAAGACAGGAGTGTTTTCCGGACAAGAACTTGCGGACGGTTTGCTAAGTCACAATTCCACTTCTCACTCACATTCACAGCAATATGCAGAGAGCTTTAGTCCACAGTTACCATGGTTGCCTCTGCTAATGCCATTACCTATGCATATAATACAGTGGACAATGATGCAATATTGCATGTAAAAATTCATTGAAATTTAAATCCACTCGACTGAATAGCAATTTATGCACATTGTTCAATTGCAAAACACGTTGAATCTCATTATATTAAGTTTCAATCATCATTTTGCATTGAACAGTCATAATTGGTAATGGGTGATATTTAATATATATTTTGCACCCTTTTTTTCACCCCGAAACCCCTTTATTGCGTTTCAACTTTAAAGTTACTCCGTGTAGAATTCATAAATTGATACTTTTTAGTCCCTCACGCTTTTTTTATTGGCTCAACAATATATATTATTGTTCATATTGTATATTGTAGTTGATATTATTTGTGTAAACATTGGTTTTATTTATTTAAAATCAACATATGCCATTTGACGTGTGACAGATATTCATCGCCGAAATGTTTGCCGATCCCAGCAAAATTACGAAATATAACCTTTCAATTTGTATTTAACCCAGCGGCATCTCAC